CCTCTTATAGTGAGCGGGGTGGCGACATTGATTATAATATATGTAAAAGATGCTCTTAGTGACTTAGCAGTTGAATATTTAACGAATTCTTTGCCAGGGTTAGGTGTGTGCATGAATTCGTTTTTAAATCCTTTACTTTACGCTTATCGCACCAAACTTTTTTCTGACGTCTTGAAGTCAAGATTCAAAAGGTGCAAAAATAAGCTAGTTAATTTTGTAAGGATAAATAATAGAGTTGGCAACAGCAACAACGTTGCTGTCGATAATTACAATAAACGGGAATATCAGCAATAATTCACGATTGTCATGATAGCAGGATTGATTAACAGTATCAACAACTGCAATCATGATTTTCCCAAAGACAAGGGCGTGTACAAGGGGGGCACCAGGGGGGTTACCCAACCCCCGACTCCCACTTCGTCCTCGCAGGACAAAGACTTACTCATGGTAAGATAAAGAATTTTATAAGATATTCAATCAGTTCATTCGATATTAAGCCAATATAATCGCGTTTCTTGACAATTTTGAAACCACAAGACGATTATGTCAGCGAGGGACTTCATTGATAGTCTCATTTCCCCCTCACTCCACAAAAAGAACATAAAAAAAATATAAAAAAACATCAGAAAAGCTACATCTCCACTCAAAATCATCCACACACTCCTGAGACACTGATGAGAAGTGATTTCTAAAGCGGTTATCATGTCAACTGTATTCTTATTGATAATGATAATTACCTGATAGTTGATGAGTCAGCCTCGACTACCACGAACAATGCCTTTTCACTGATGGAAATGTGTAAACTAGAACATCATTTAAAGGTAGTTTGTAAAATTATCTATAAGTAATAAATGCAATAAATAAATATTGATGCATACTGACTAGTTCTAAATTGATTTCAATAGCTATTGGCCGTTCAAAAGGAAACTGGGAACGAGTRTGAAAATAGTCCACTGATCGAAATTGTAATCTTATCACATGAAAGACCATACTACAATTAGTGTTCTTGTCAAGTTTGAGACTATTTAGTTGAATACTCACTGAGTAGGAATTTTTTCAAATTTGCATAAAATAAGAGAGAATGCATATGGGTCATGTATGGTTTTTGGGGATGCTTCTCAATTTTGTATTTTTTTTCGAGTTTTAAGCGCTTGCAAATCTGTAAGTATTTATCCGAATACTCTCAAACTCAGCAACCATACTAATTTTAGTATGCTCTTTCTTGTCCTGGTGTCTGTTTTTCATTGCTTCAAACGGTATAGAGTTTGTGACTAGTCACCAGTTCATTTGAATTTCGAAAATGGGTAATTGTCAACGCAAATGTAATTTTGAAGTCCCGGAATTTTCTGCAGCTTTTAGACCAAAAAAAGGCGGCAAAAACAGATTATCTAGATCTTTTTGTGATTTGGAAGTGCAYTTCCCGCCTTCCAGTTGATTGCGCCCTTAAAACAGTTTTAAATTCCCTTTAGATTGGTAATTATTGATTGTTTCACCTCAAAGAATTTATGAGGGGCGATTCACACTGAGAAATATGCACACATAGAATGGAGACAAGAGGWTCATCATGTTTATCTTTGTTTGTTCTTAATTATAGCTGATGTTTTTTCTTGCTATGCTTATATCGATGCACGTTTTAGTTCATTATGTTGTCTTTTGTTCGCGTGTTTTTGCTTATACCGTATTGCAAAATCTCATGCTTTTGTTCTATACTGGAATGATCAGATGTAGTCGCATTGAGGAAAGCGAAATACCTTAGTACGTTGAAAATATTTGAGAAGACTGAGTTAATAAATCCTTAGAATTACTTGTAGTTTAGCGCCTAAGTAGTCTTATTAGGAAAGTATTCATATTATAGACGAGGCTCACTTCGTTTATTTTCCGAACTTTACTCAGCGAATTCCAAGATATTCTCAGTAAACGAGAGAAGATAGAGTACAAACGCTAAAACTAAATAAAAACTAAATACTGCT